CGGAGTTTCGAGAATTGACTTAATTCTTTTTAAATATTTCGACCATTTTACCAAACTAGCGTTTTTTTTTTAATAATTAAAGGCGAAAACGCCAGTTTATAATGGACGTATATTATGTCACTTTAAAACGATAATTATGAATGACAAATTTCTAAATCATTAGTAGCAAAATACCACGTTCACAGTTTTTTTTTTGCAAGTCATTAGAAAATGCAGTAACTTTCGTTTTCACAGTCGAGCACTCGTAATGATCGTTCGTAATAGTTGGCGCGAATTTGTGGACAGAACCGAACGTATTCGCGCGCAGTAATCTATGTATCTTAAATCTAAATGTTTAAAAGTATCTACAGAAATATGGCATACAACAAAATCTATATTAAAATGTTTACAAATAAAAAGAGTTTTTATTGTAGTACAGACATAACACACTATGAAAAATTTTAACTATGAAAGATAGACTGGGCACTAGGTACCCAATTAAATTACTACGTATGTATCTTCTTAAAGTATTAAACTGGGGTTTATCTAGTCACTCTACAGCAAATGCGTTGCGTCTGTATCTGTTACCGCGCTATTCTAAGGGCAACGGAATTAGCCGAGCGCGCCCGAGTTTTGCCGAATCCAGTCGAAGACTCTACGAAACTTCCTCGCAGAACACAAAATTGAAATATTAATAAAAAAAACAAAAATAAAGTTTTGATTATGTATAAAAAAAATACACGTCCAGACACGAAAAATCGCTGCTTTTTAATTTTTTTTATTCGTTGTAACGTGGGATGATTTGCTTTGGTTTACATTAACGCGCCACATATTAAACCATTTCTGAAGGTCATCTAGATGTGATTGTAAGTTTTCAGAAGCTGTTGTAGGTTCGTCATGAACAGACATTATAGCTGTATCATCTGCGTATGTTGCAATGATAGTGTTTCTGTTGGTTGGTAAGTCTGCTGTATAGATGAGGTACAGGACAGGGCCGAGTATGCTGCCTTGTGGCACACCAGAAGTAATCTCATGCATCTGTGATGATTCTCGGTTATGTTTAATCTCAAAGCATCGTCTATTAAGATATGACTTAATAATAACTGTGTGGCAACATTTTTTTCAATTTGAATAACAGTCCATCGTGCCACACCTTGTCAAATGCCTGCCCGATATCGAGAAAGGCAGCTGAGCAGTACTGTTTATTTTCAAGTGTTTCACTTATGACATCCACAAAGCGATGAATCTGTTCAATTGTTCCGTGCTTTTCACGAAAGCCAAATTGATGTGCGGGAAGGACACTCGGCAGATGTTTCTTCATCCTGTTAAGAATGACCTTTTCCAAAATTTTACCAATGACTGGAAGATGACTTATTGGCCTATAAGAACCTGCATCGTGAGGTGGTTTTCCAGGCTTTGGCACCATCACCACTTGGGCTATTTTCCATTGACTTCCTAGTCTTTCTAGTGCTTTCTAGTGCTTTCCTAAGCACTCCAGTCTAATGCATGCATGATATGTGTCACTAAACGAAAAGCTGCACGCTGGCGGCTCTCGTCCACAATCTGATGCTCCTTAACCGCGAATTTTTTTGTCTTCTGATGCATCTTCATCCTTCAAGCATACCCATCACCATCAGATAAAATAGTTAATACACAATACCCTGATTTGTTCTAGAAAGGCCCACCCAGTCTTACAAAAGTCTCAAGCCGATAGACATTGCATATAATGTGATAGCCTCCTGCCGCCTTAAAATATGAGGTCAAACTTAAAATATTAATTAAAATGCTGATTAAACAGCATAATTTCACTCGCAATAAATTTGTAGTTCTAAAATCACGCGAAACAATTATTCGAGTTGGACAGTAGTCATTACAATAATATTATGTATGTACCTACCTAAATATTCTAATAAAATACAAGTGCACAATAAAATGTTTATTCTTACTCATATCATCATACATCTTCAACGAAGCGCCTTAGTTAGCTATTCAATGAAAAAGAGCTCTCGATTCCTTTCGTTTTGAGCTACATCACAAAGATCGTTTAGAGAGGTCGGGGTCTTGTTAAAATGGACGAGAACAAACTGCAATAGGTCATTGACATTGCATAAATTTAAATTTATAAATAAATGTTTGCGAGGATTGCGTTTCGATGTTTTGAAATAAAATTTAAAGATTCGTTATTAATTAGTAGACATGGAGCCAAATGCTACTTAATTATTGGCTGTGTACTTATGTCGTAGTATAATAATCTATTTGAAACTGTCGTTTTTTTTTTTTTTATTGAGAGTGAATCGCTCTTCGAACAGAGTATTTTTATCTTCTTTAAATCGATTTAAAAAGAAAAGGAGTAACTCCGTTCGGTTGTATTTCTGGACGTGACTAACTCAGATCTTCTGCTACATACTTTTAGGCCAGAAATGAATCCACATTGAAATAAAAGAGGTCGATGAGAGTGATTTTTTTTTGTGATTTTGAAATTATCTGAGATTACATCACAGCATATACATTTTTATAGTTAACTTCATTGCGTAAAACTATGGAGGGTAGAGTTAAGGAGCACTATGTAGCCCTCTGTTTTAGGGGTGGTATTACGAGTGCTCTGAGGAATTATTCGAGATGATACCGTCATCTCGTTTTTACTATCGCACCGCTCGCCACCGCAGTAGAGTTCATCCATACTACCTGGAGCCACTGCGGTCATCCACAGTGCGTTTCCAGAGGTCTTTTTTGCCACGTACGATCCGGCTATGGTATGAGCTCCCCTCCACGGTCTTTCCCGAGCGCTATGACATGTCCTTTTTCAAACAAGGCTTGTGGAGAGTATTAAGCGGTAGGTAGCGGCTTGGCTCTACCCCTGGCATTGCTGAAGTCCGTGGGCGACGGTAGCCACTCACCATCAGGTGGGCCGTGCGCTCGTCTGTCTACAAGGGCAATTAAAAAAAGGGGACAAGTTGAATAAGTGTCCACCTGTAAACAGGGATTTAATGTTGGTAGACTCACCGAAATAGTGTAGAAAGTGGATGTGATATAAATATAGCAGTTTTAAACAATCTCATCTCTTGTCGTTTAATTTCATCCCACGAGATTAAAATTTCAAATAAATCAATTTTATTTCATTCGACTATGTTTTTCTTTAAAGTATTTATTATGTAAGAATTGAATTTCTTTATAAAGTTGACACTGGCAACAATTGCAACGTAAGAAGCCAATTGCCATACTGGGAAAAATAAGGATTACATTTTTGGAACAAAGTTCCTTATAGGACAATGCGGAGGGGTACCCTAACCGGGAAAAAACGTCCGTAACATAAGATTTTTACTAGTAATGCACACAGTGTACGACTTAACTTTGTAATAACGTACAAAAAATATCATCTTTTTTTATCATTCATTGACCACGATCTCAGAGCGTTCGTTTGCGCAATACACTAACTCTTATGCAAACAACGGTGAATGAAGTGTACCACAATAAGTTCGCACGTTACCGAGTGACCGTGGGTTGTTGCGAAACCTCCAGTTTTATTTTCTTTATACCTCGAATAGAACTTAAAATTAATATTTTTATAATAAGAAACTTCGTTCCTATCCGGTGTCCCACGACACCATACATCTCTTTTTTTTTATAGTGAAAAGAAAGAACATAGGGTCTCCCAACCTGGTCATATATTGACCGTTGCTCGTGGATATGAACAACACTAGAGGCTAGTTGAAAACAATACCCTGTCGCGACTAAGTGTCTTTAAACTTATATTTTTGGTATTATCGGAACTAAATAAATGTAGGTAGGTAATAAATAAAAAACATGGTCGCGTCACAATGATTATGACTCACATAATTATTTTAGGTTATAATTAATGACAAATTAAAAATAAATAAAAAAGTTTGATAGTCATGTCAACCTTTTTACATTGCGTATGCGTCAACTTTCAATTCGTTCACAGAGTATAAAATGGTCTTGTGAAAGCTACCGTAACTAAGGACTCACTTAAACTAAATTACTATAGAAATAACGTTAGCTTTCCATCCATTTTGGACGAACAATTTTCTGTAATTTAACTAAGACTACTTTTACGGTCTAGTCTCGTGTTTAATATTGTCATTTGTCATTATTTCTGAAGTTTCGAATATTGCACATTGTCGTGGTCACGAGCGACCATAGATAAACCATACCATAGACCATACTGCGGACGACTAAGATGGACGACCCGTCGAAATTTGAATGTTGTGCGAACTACCGTCTAATGTTCTATAAAAAAAAAATTATAGACTTTTACGTTACGTTTTACACAGAAAGAACTCACAGTATCTTGTGGTCTGGCAGTTCGTTTGACTTGGTTTTGTAGACGTAAACCGTAAAAGTACATAGTTTTAATTATAATATATCTACAATTCGCGGAAACAGAAGTATATATGTTAATTTAATTTTAAATATAAACTTGAAAAAATACGTGATCAGTAAAACGGAAAATGGGAACAAACGCGTGTAAAAATGTTGCTGACAGTTCGTAATTTAGAGTTGCTGATCTGGCTAAGTGATGTAAAATTGAAAAACATTGCTATCAATCAAACGTATCTCACTGTTCTGTATCGTTAAAATCAAAATATTTATGAAATTTATTTGAATAGACAATAAGTATGTAGTGGGAACGGGAGCTCAGCTTATACCTTAACGTCACGGCGATGCAAAATAAACCTACAGCTACGTAATATTTAGGTCGTAATTTATCACAGCCTTGCACACGATAAGCTACGTCATAACAGTGTGCTTAGTGCGAGTTTTTTGACGCTCGCGATTGCGTAAAAATTAACACAAATTTGTATATAGATGGAACAACGCCCCTAGCGGCAAACGTAGGCAAACGTTCCAACTCCATACAAATAAGAGTTAACTTTTACGCTATCGAGAGCGTTAAAAAACTCGCACTAAGCACACTGATCATTTAACTGTTATGTAGTGTCTGACACATACAAAAGTGAATGTGTCAGATTTAGAGTTAATATGTTTATAAATACTTTCAGGTCCGGTGATGGAGAAGAGGGAGACAAGAGTACAAATGAAGCTGTATCTAGGATACCACCGCACTGTCATATCACGATTAAATGTACTCGAGAAGTAAGTGCATCTCCTTCCTTTGCTCATGAGTCACGGGGTTTCCTCTGAGTGTGTGACTTAATTTCTCGAGTTTCCTTATTATTGTCTGTCTATTAGCCGTCTTCTCGAGCCAAGCTATCTACGTATACTCGTGACTGAGCTCATAGCCCGACTGTTGTTAAATAGGTATCAAGGCCTATAGGCACTATAAAGTGAATGCCTCCATCCACTTTGAGACGTGAGGCTTAAGTCTCAATTGTATAGTATAACGGCTGTCCTATCCCTTCATACGGGAATGCATTATTGCTTCGCGATATAAATAGGCCGGATAATACCTACCGGTGCGTGTTCACAAGACGACCTACCATGAAAAGAATCAGTTAATCATTTCCTTGATCGTTTATGGCTTTTTGGCATCTGAAAATTATGGTATTATTAAAGTTTCAGAGTAGGTTTAAGCTAGAAAAAGTACATATTATTATTAACTATTCCATTGTATATATTAGATTCCAATTAAAGATGTTTTCCATTGCAATCTCTGGTGTGGCGATACTTATTACTTTTTAAGTTCAGTCGCGAATAAACGCTCCGATTAACCAGTTGTGTTATTTAATTATCTCACTTCCGGTAACTCCCTAAACCATTATTGACCACTACCAAAATAACACCCAAAAGTGTTTCCTTTTGTTCAATTACCAACAGAATTTAAAGCAAATAATATTAGGCATAATATTTAAATAATTATAACGAATGCTCTCAAAGTCAACCTCAGCTTGCATTAAACAAAAGGAGAAAACAAAATAAACGCAACGTTAACGAGTCCTTAGAGCTTGAGGTTTTTAAGAGCATTATTACCTATAGGAAAAATGTCGCACTGGTAAAACCTCGTCAGGTTTGAGCTCCATGAGCTCACCTACTGGTTAAGGTTACGCTGAAATAGCCTCTCAAGGCTCTAGGCTTAGGTAGGAAAAAAAGAAAAAAAAAGGTTTTTTTATTTTTTTTATTGCCCTTGTAGACAGACGAGCCATACGGCCCACCTGATGGTGAGTGGTTACCGTCACCCATGGACTTCAGCAATGCCAGGGGCAGAGCCAAGCCGCTGCCTACCGCTAAGGTAAAACCGTTTGACGTAATTTCCAGATCGCAGGTTTCAATGGCCTATCCGAAGCCGTCCGTCGTCTAGACTTCTCCTCGGCCGTCCGCGATGTTCGCCGCTTCAATTACATATGCGCTTTGTTGGAGCTATTGCTTCACGGGCAACGACTGACTCACCTGCCCGGGGCTGCTCAGAAACTCTTGCTGTCTATGCTGGAGCAGTTAGCCGATCAGGGTGAGGTTCAAATTTAATTCTATGTATTATTCACTTTGAGAACGTACTGTCCAATTTAGGCAAGTTATATACGACTTTACGTATCGATGTGTAGGCTGGATCGGTTTCGATGTAATTTTCAGGTTGTCTTCAGATTAATACAGCGAGTGATCATAATATTATGAAGTTTTGTAACGATCGCAATAGAGGCAAATCAAAGATGGGTCGGCGAAGCGGGTCGAGCGTGACTAGTACTTTTTTTATTTATTGCTTAGGTGGGTGGACATGCTCATGGCCCACCTGGTGTTAAATGGTTCCCATCGACATTTACAACGTAAATGCGGTCACCTACCTTGAGATATGAGTTCTAAGGTCTCAGTATAGTTACAACGACTGCCCCACCCTTCAAACCGAAACGCATTACTGCTACACGGCAGGAAATAGGCGAGGTGTGGTACCTACCAGTGCGAATACAAGAGGTCCTACCACTAGTAAAAAACATGTTCTGTATGGACTCCGGAATGACTGGATTGATTTCGATGTAGTTTTCAGGTCCTTATATTAAGATACCGAGAGATCGAAGTTTTGTAGCGATCGCAATAGAGGCAAATCAAAGATGGGTCGGCGAAGCGGGTCGACTAGTACACTAATAAATCGTTTCCTAAAGCGATATAAATTTATTTACTGCCGATACGTTGACGAAACATGGTCCAACTTGAATTGTGTAAAAATTACGCATACTACAGTGGCGCAGTCGCAACAAAACCTGAACGCTCTCCGCGCTCTGCTGAGCGGGGTGAGTGCGCTGCGCGAGGCCGAGCGGCGGTCGTGCTGGGGCCGGCCGCTCGGCTCTAGGGCGCTGTGGGGACACCACGACCACGCCATAGCCAGGATCCATCACATCGCCAGTGCCATACGTATACAAGAGGTATTACAGCTTTTTTTTTCCCTACCTATTCTAGTAACCTCGAGGGGTTATTCTAGTTTCGCCGAGCTTGTAGGTGAGCTCACGGGGCTTAAACCTGACGACGTTGCTAACACGAGCCCTAGCAAGATGCAGAATCTACCACCGGATCGGAAACGCGACCCACTGAGAAGATCCGGCGAGGAACTCAGTGGGCTGTGTCTGTGGGTTAATTTACTCGTCGAGAACGATGACCGGTGCTTGAGGTACCTAAAAGCACCATTAGTGGATCGGGAGGATCGGAAATGAAGTGTTTTGGGCAACGTCGACTGCTTTCCATTCTGTCGGCAGAATCGGGAATGGATATTATCATAGCGCTGTATAACATTCATCCTTATACAATTCTCATTCTTTTGCTGAGCCTTGAGAGCCTATTTCAGTTTCGCCTTGACGCGTAAGTGAGCTCACGGGGCTAAACCGAGAGTCTTGCTAACACTGGCCCTAGCAAGAGCGGTGCTTCGAGACATTAACGCGGTGGCATTGACACATGAGTTTCAATGACAAGTCTCAGTTATACAGTACGGCCTTTCAAACCGAAACGCAGAAATAAGCGGGGTGGTGGCACCTATCCGTGTGGGGTCACAAGACTTCCTATCTGGTCGTACTTTTAAACTATTGGTGCAAAAAAACCTCCAATATATCAAACAGGATACGTACAAAAAGAATGTATTCTGCAAATCGATATTTGACATCGTCAACCGAACAGCTCTTACCTCTTTAGTGATATCTGTTAATGTACAATTAGAAGCCCAACAGGTCTTCTGGCTGTACCTATTAAAGTCGTGAAAGGCTTGCGGTCTCAATGGTCTGATGACTCTGCCATTTGATATTTCAGCCCGGACCCGAGGTTGTGCCGAAACTTCACGATCTACCAGAGGAATGCATTCGGGACATCCTGTTGAGGTTAGCGGATCACAGGGATTTAGATGTGAGTGGAAACATCCTTGCTTACAAACTAGAAATCACATATCGTTCAAAATCTAAAGGTCTTTATTGCTGACTGGTTTTAGATCATTTCCCGTCGCGACCAACGTCATGCGTACGGCTTGAGAGGCGGGACAGCTGTCTCAATGAACAGTTGAGCTTTAGACCTCATGTCTCAAGATGGATGATTGGTGATGATGGTGGGATTGATTTTGATTTTTACAGGTTCTACTAATCCCTAATCACTGAAAATAACAAATAGTTCATTTTAATTGCAGGCAGCGTCGTCAGCATGGAGCGTTATGTCGTCAGTATGCTCGGAGCAGAGGATCTGGCGTGAACTGGTCAGCTTTCACTTCACGAACCAACAGATCGATGCGGCCGTCGCCAAGATCAAGGAGGACGATAAAGAAGTCGAGTGGAAGAAGATCTTCCATCACCTCAGGAAGTAAGTTCGTTTGGAATTATCAGAATGACAAGGGGAAAATTTACAAAACGATCATTAGACCTATCGTGCTGTATGGATCTGAATGTTGGGCAACGAAATTAAAGCAAGAAAGAGGAGTGCATGAGGCAGATGCGAATGTTGACATGGATGTGTGGAGTGTTAAGAATGGACAAGATGAGGAATGGGTATATCAGAGGAAGTGTGAAAGTAGCCCCGGTGATTGACAAATGAAAGACCGGACGGTTAGCGTGGTATGGACATGTGATGCGTAGAGGGGAGATGCATGTGACTAGAAGATGTATGGAAATGGTAGTGCGAGGTAGAGGGGAAGAGGTCGACCGAAGAAGACATGGATGGAGTGTGTGAATGACGAAATGAGAGAGAGAGGAGTGAGTGTTGAGATGACGGCTGATAGAAGAGAATGGAACAGAAAAATTCGCTGTGCCGACCCCACCTAGTGGGATAAGGTGGAGGCAAAGAAGAAGAGAATGACAACACAAATAGGAAGGTTAATTAAACATAATATTCTTTACTTTTACTAGTCAAATGGGTTCTATTTATGAATTAAATGAATCTAAATTATGGGCAATTTGTCGTCGTCAGCACGACCTTGTGTTAGGGGATGTTGATTGTGATAACGCACACTTTTTTTCCTACCCATTCTTACTAGAATGCGTAGGGAAAAAAGCTCCTCGAGGTTACTACATCGAGGAGCTATTCTAGATTCATCGAACTAGTAGCTGAGCTCACGGGGCTCAAACCGGGAGTATTGCTAACGATGTCCCTAGCAAGAGCAGTGATTCGTAGAATCCACCACCGTATCGGAAACGCGAGTTCATCCATACTACCTGGAGCCACTGCGGTCATCCACAGTGCGTTTCCAGAGATCTTTTTTGCCACGTACCATCCGGCTATGGAATGAGCTCCCCTCCACGGTGTTTCCTGAGCGCTATGACATGTCCTTCTTCAAACGAGGCTTGTGGAGAGTATTAAGCGGTAGGCAGCGGCTTGGCTCTGCCCCTGGCATTGCTGAAGTCCATGGGCGACGGTAACCACTCACCATCAGGTGGGCCGTATGCTCGTCTGCCTACAAGGGCAATAAAAAAAAATAAAAAAAAAAAAAAACCCACTGATAAGATCCGGCGAGAAACTCAGTGGGCTGTGTCTATGGCTTAATTTACTCGTCGAGCCCTTCGTCGCAAGCGGCGGGTTCGACGAGGACGGTGACCGGTGCTTGTGGTACCTAAAACACCGTTAATGGATCGACAGGATCCGTAATGACGTGCTTAAGGCGACGTCGACTGTTTACCATTCGGTCCACCGGCTCGTTGCAGACTGTACGGGCTGCGCGAGGAGGCGCAGTTCGCGGAGACGCTGTCCCTGTGCCGCCACTGCCGCTGCCTTTTCTGGCGCTCGCTCGGACACCCCTGCATTGCCGACCAGGTACCCACGCAACCCACATAGGACGTATTGCTTAGATGAGTGGACGAGCTCAAAGCCCCCCTGGTGCTAACTGGTTACTGGAGCCCATAGACATGTACAACGTAAATACCGCCACCCACCTTGAGTTATGAGTGATATCCTATGATGATATAAAAGATATTCTCCTAATGACGCATCCTCATCTCCCACTAAATATGTGGCCTAAAGCTAAATGAGTAAAAGTACGTGCTTGTATGAAATGAGATCGTATGGCCAGTTCATTGTTTTTTTTTTCTTGGTCCCTATTATTAACTCCAGAGCATATTATCCAGGGCCGAACTTAAATCGCAGTGGGAAAAGCTACACACATCATAAATTGAATTAAAAATGTTATAATGATTGAGTGTAGTTTTCTCGTGTATTTGTGGCGTACGAATTGAGTTAAAAATATACAACAGAAAATGCGAGAACACTGACCCACCGAGATCCCGAATTCCTAACCCCCTAGTGCATATTTCTGCCACGAAACATTCATGTATTCTTTTTGGACTGCTTTTCAACTAAACTTGGCAGCTACAGTCACCTCGTGGTGGACCACGGTAACAACTTAACGTCAGATGGGCTGTGAAGCCGCCCACCCATACTCCACTAGTAACACGACAACAATAGTCTTAAAAACTTTTTTAAATATGTTCTAGTGCCCTGAATACCGCGAGCGCCTCAGAGAAGCTGGAGGACCGTTGCCCCCCTCTCCCGTACCTCCCGCAGCGTTCCTCAAATTCTTCTCGCTCTAAGAACTTAGAGATTAAGAGGTAAACGAAATCACGATTTAATTCATAAAATACAATTCAAGAGTATAAAGTGAAATATTGTTATTCTATACGTACATACATACATACATAATATATGTACATTCATAATCACCCCTTAATAATTTAAATTGTAAGAACCATGGTTGAAAGGTTAGAAGGCTTAATTTATACATATCGACGCTTGAAAGGCAAACGTGACTAAGCGACAATAACTGCTTTATACATAAATGATAGGCAATGACCATATTCGATGCGCAAAAAATATATATTTCTAGGTCTATTAAAATCATTTCAATCCTACAGCTAGATTCGTTAAAGTATTTTTTTTCAGGTATTTCAACTTTAAATTAGTCTACTGTAAAGTTCACGCATTGTCGCTTAGTCACGTTTGCCTTTCAAGCGTCGAATTATGTACATTAGTAATCACACCTTAATAATTTAAATTGTAAGAAACATGGTTGAAAGGTTAGAAGGCTTAATTTATACATATGTACATTAGCGAAATTCATCCTTATTTTCGTATGCTGAAAACTCATTATCCTTTAGATAGTTCTCGTAGAAGTAGTTTGTATTCAATCCGTAGTACTTAGTACGTGTTTGTGCATTAAAAAGGAAAGGGAACAAAAAAATAATGAGATATGAACATACAGTACCCGGCGATAAATATTGCACATCGACCGTCGGACAAGACAATCGGGTAATATCGGCTTCATAGATCTCTGTCGCGCACTACATATTTAACGTTTGTCAGTCGTTGTGCAAATGAGGTAGTGCGCGATCACACTGTACTCCGTGCGATAGAGACAACACATCACGAAGCCGAAATTCGCCGATTGTCTCTTTCCAAAGGTCGATGTGCAACATTTATGGCTCGGTACTGTAAATGTTATATAAAAAGAATTTATTATGACTGATTACGAAGATCTCTAGTACTGGCCTATTTAATATGAAATTACAAGACGACATTATTCATTATAATTTAGTGATAAATTTAATGTGAACAGAATTATCAAAATTATAAATATTCAAAACAGTTAATTGAAATTTGCTTGTGCAATGACGCCACGTTTACGGGGTGCGACAGAAACGCTTTTTTTCTCTCTCTACTCTATTTGAGGGACTATTCCAGCTACGTACGGTTTGGTAGGTGATCTCACGGCGCTCAACCTGGGAGGGCTTACAAATAAATACTAGTCCTAGCAACGGTGACTGGTGCTTGGAGAGCCTAAAAACACGGATAGTGGATCGGGAGGATCCGGTAAAACCTGCTTAGGGCGGCTTTGTTTTGCACCGTCGTCTGGGTCGGGTATATATTTAGAGGCGGCCGCGATAAGATGATTAATGTGTCGCGCCGCTTCCTCGACGAAAAAAAACACCTACCTTCATAGTTGAGCGATTTAATTCGAAATTGACTGTAATCAATACTTACTATACAAAAAACCTTTTATTTCATAAATTGACTGTCGTGAAAAAACACATATTTCACCTGACTAATATCTACACATGATAACTCATTGAAACTATATACATACTTTACATACTTTTATGGTTTTATCTATGTTAATGTCACTATTTTCGAAGTTTCGAATAACTTTTAAATTTACCGTAAAAATAGTTTTAATTATGTTTACAACTCGCGTAAACCGAAGAAAGTACTACCTATGCCAGACAACTATTTATGAAAAGAGTCGAATGAATCCAGTACGTACTGGCAAACAATACTTTTATTTTTAAACTAATGAGGTTTTATAGGTTATTATTGTTATTAACTTTTTTGTTTGTTTTGTGCGTGTGTCTTTATATCATATTATTATATGTCGCGTTTGCTTGCAAAGTAATTTTAATTTAATGGCGCTACATAATATCACTGATATTTGAGTGAGATGAATGTGAGGAGTGGCTTGGTGATATCGACACAACAAATATTTACTGGTAGCCAAAACTGCAATTGACAGACTAGTAAATAGCCCTACAATCTGCCTTAATAAGCGACGTTATTTTTATGCTGTGTGTGGGTGTAGGAGCATACCTGATATTAAGTGGTAACCGGAGTAAATGCCGCCATATTGCACCTTGAGATGTGAGGTCGAACAGTTAAAATGTCGCCTTAATGTCACAGTCAGCAATAGAAAGAAGTGTTTTGATTTTTAACAAAATGTGATTTTTAATAATGTTACGCGCTAAATAAAATTTCACCAAAGTAGCCCGAAGTCTTTGCCATTACTAATCAAGAAGCCTCTACGATCAACGATAAATTAGTACACGAACTTATAGAAATATACATAATTTATATGTAAGGATTTTACTTATACTTCAACCTTATGAGCATTCGTTAAGTTCTATAAAATGACCTATGAAGATAGTGCGATATTAAAATGGCAACTTATTAGTGAAAAACAATATTTTATTGTTGAATTCTTAATATAAGTAGTTTGTGATGATAATTACAGTCTCTTCACCAAAGGAGTGTGTTCATGAGAAATTGTGTTCAACAAAAAAAAAAAAGGTTTGTTAAGGAATATAGTGATTGATTGAAGCTACTGTAGTTATTTTAGACTGTGTTAGAATATATAAATGCTTAAAGCTTGTACTGCACTGGTTCTATCAAAATATCTAAACCACTAACTAATAAGAATTCAAATTCTAAAAAATTCAGGACCTTTTAGAATTCAAATATGTAATAAAATTTTCAAAAATGTTGAACATATTTTATATTCAAGAACTCTAAAACCTTTTCGAATTTGAGTCCATAAAAAAATAAGAAATATTTTTGGATGTCATGTGTGACCGAACCTTAGTTTAGTAATAAATCCAACAAACTGTAATTATGTTTCATTGTCCTATCAGTATTATAATAAATGTTATTTGAATTTTAAAGTTGTGCTTATGAAAATGTTGTTATTAAATAAAATTAGCCTGTGTAGGGTGAGTAGTGGACACAGAAAAGCAATAAAAAGATGTCAGATGTGACAATCTTATAAAATGGATGAGCCAAATATATTTTTAATACCCGAGACATCCGTATATTGGAACTACATACAAAACTACAGAATATATTTGCCCAACGAAAACTTAAATTCTAAAGTAATAAAAAAATATACATGTATTTTTTTATTCATATTCGTCAGCATTTTTGTCGGTCTTTCTCGAAAGAGTTGACCTCTGTCCATTAAGCCTAAATCTTCATACGAGTATGTTAAACGCTATGGCTGGCATAATATTGCCGTTTTTTGAATTTTCATCAGTAATCAATCATTAATCGGCGAATTAGAAAAAATGTTCACGGTAGCATTGTAGCTATTGATAATGTGATATTTTAAGTTACTTATAAAAAATATAAGTTTTTCTATAGTCTATAGATGCTAAGTTTATTGTGGATTTGTCAAATGAACAATTTGGAATGTGAGAAAATAAATTGATGCATTGGTATTTTACATCTCTGGTGATACACTAATATCTCAATTTCCGTTTTACCTTAAATAAAAACACACGGTAAATTACTTATATGTAAATTTTGTTTTAATTAATCAATTAATGTGCACTGTTTTTAGTGTGTATTATGTAACTAAAAGTTTGCGGGTAGATCAGCATTTTTCTAAATAATTTTTCCATCATTTATATTAACGCTCTTGTGGATGACTAAATACACTCCCACAGTCAGACAAAATGAGAATAAATTGTGTAAAAATCATTTGATTTTATAATAATAATAGCAAAGTATGTACCTAGTGTAGGTAGGTATATTTTCTGTACATTCAAAATTGAACATTTGACACGGCATAGTCTGTATTGAACTAAAATGTAGATTAGTATTAAGCAGCTTAGTACGTACCCAAGTCATGTATACTTAATCTGTGATGTAAAATGTTTTTGTTTTTCTCTCTCACTGTAGCTCGATACAAAGGAATTTGCTTTCATGTTTGTGTTCTCACTTGTGTATTCACATACATTATTACTATTTATATATATAATAAAGTATTTTTAATATTGTTCTACAATAAAGGATGGTTTTCTTTATTTATTCCGTTACCGATGCAAAAAAACCATAATCGACCTAATTATCTTATAACTCGGTGTTTGTAGGTACTGCCAAAAAACATTTTCATTTGAAGTTGGATAAAAGAAAATTTTATTCCGCGATTTTCCCTGAATATTGCATATCCGGAAGTAATTAAGTTCATTTATTACCTATTTAACCATTGACCCCCTATCCATATTATTTTAAATTGACTTTTCCTACCCTGGGAAAGTTGTATATGTATATATATGGACCGTTTATTTTGAAAGTGGTGTAAGTCCATTTTCTTTTGTTTCGAGAAAATTAAAGGTTACTAATTTGTTGATTTAAAAATACAGGCAAATCATATGAGATCTGGCTATGCCACCTACCTCTGTCAATTGGACTTACACCACTTTCATAATCGATGATAATGCAATTTCATTTACCGACCGATTTTAAGTTGGGATTTTTTTGAGAAATTAAACACGGACTAGTTATATATATAAAAATTACATTAAATTAAGCATGAATTACGTGATAGCTCATTTTTCTCAAAAATAGACTTACACTACTTTCAAAATAAACGGCCCATATATATTTTACAGAAAGTTATAAAGTTCTTTCTTTTTTAATTATTTTTGCCCTTTGTAGACAGACGAGGAGCATACGGCCCACCTGATAGTGAGTGGTTACCGTCGCTCATGGACTTCGGCAATGCCTGGGGCAGAGCCAAGCCACAGCCTACAGTTAATTAATGTATTTATTGATTAGTTATAAAGGAATTTTAAAAAAGTAATAATATTTGTTTTAAACACATTTGGTACACATTTTATTTGACAACACACATAGGTATTTAGCACTTGTTGCAAACAATCTTACTTCGAATTTCGAAAAAAATTAGAAAAATTTAACGCCTTAACTACCCATGGGCAGGTACTCCAGCACCCAGTACTTATTAATATAACTACTTGCCGCTTAAGAAACTATGTTATGAAACGTAATAAGAAAATATGTAGACGAAAAAACCAAATTTATTTGCCACATTCAAATTTAATATAACTTTAAATATCTAGCAGGGTGTCTGAGCACGCTGGGTAGGGATCCAGGGTTAGGTGAATTACAATTTGTTTCCACCTATTTCTGCTGAAAAATAAATTGTTTCGCGCTGGTAGTCGTTCTTTATTGTATAACTATTTTTTTTTTAAATGGAGACCTCAATATCAAGTTGATCAGCGGCATTCGCATGTTGAGGCGCCTGAAAGCCCAAAAGTCTAATTGACCTTGAAAGCGTTCGTTTGAGATGGTACCATAATCTCGTTTTTATCATCGCACCGCCCGCCACCGGAGTAGAGTTCATCCATACTACCTGGTGCCACTGCGGTCATCCACAGTGCGCTTCCAGAAATCTTTTTGGCCACGTACCATCCGGCTTTGGAATGAGCTCCCCTCCACGGTGTTTCCCGAGCGCTATGACATATCCTTCTTCAAATGAGGGTTGTGGAGAGTATTTAACGGTAGGTAGCGGCTTGGCTCTCCCCCTGGAATTGCTAAAGTCCATGGGCGACAGTAACCACTCACCATCAGGTGGGCCGTATGCTCATCTGCCTACACGGGCAAAAAAAATATGCGTCGGTCCATACTCATCTATACTAATATATAAATCTACAATGGTTTTTACGGATGTTTCGTTATAACTACTCAACCATGCGTCCGATTGACTTGAAACTTGGTATCTATGTAGAAAATACATGTACTTATTCGATAGGCTAATATTTATGAGTATTGGACTCCCTAATAATAATGACAATAAATAATGTTCATTTTAAATGCCAAGCGAAGCGGGCGAGTACGGCTAGTAACTAATATAACTAATAATATTATAAAAAGATATATACAGCAAATTATGACAATCAATAACGTTTTATTAAAATACGTAAGCATCTTTAATAATAGGCTGTAAAATTTTCAAAACAAAAAACGTTTGTCAGAAGTGGGATTCGAACCCACGCCCTCAGAGAGGACCAGAACAACTCGCATCCACTTTTCGTGGACAAGGGAACCTTGAGTCTGGCGCCTTAGACCGCTCGGCCATCCTGACAACGAACAATCAGCACGAAATTAAGCATCCAATGGATATACCATTTTTTGTTATTAAAATCTCAATTTATTGTCTAATTAATTATTAGTAAAAATTCAAAGAAAACGCTCCGAAGAATAAAATGAAGTACGAAATATGATGATGAATCATGAGCGACCAAGGGACACGCGGCAAACAAAATACAATAAAGCGTACGACGCGACGCGGGCATAAAGCGTCTCACGAAAAGTTACTCCGTCTCTTTGTTTTCGCGATCGTTGCAGCATCACACAGAAGTAGCGAGAGAGAGAAACGGAAAGTGATAGTTATAGCAGCGTGGATGGGCATAGTTTTCATGGCGTTTGTGAATTAATCTTACTAGCTAAGTACCATAAGCCCGTCCATTTCTGCCGTGAAGCAATATTTTAAGGATGAGGCAGCAGTTGTTTTAAGAAATAAAACTTTGGTGAAGGCATTTACGTTGCTAGCTGTGGCATAATACCAGACGTGGCGTGAGCTCATAAACCCTAAGCAATAAAAGGTGTTACCTACTAAACCGTGCGGATTCCACGAATTATTATAGGAATAGCCAGATATCTTCGAACAAATAGCGTAATTATCCAACTCACAGTGGAGAAACAACTTTAATATCACTGAGGCCTTCATAAGACAGTGTTACCATAATTAATATTACTATGGCATAATCTTACATTTATTGTTTTCATTACATAAATTTTGAAGTTACTTTATGAGCTCCAAGTTCGACTCACTGAACGCCCGTGCCGAAAAGCTCGTCGAAAAGGTGGTTCAATTTTCTCATCAGTGAAATGGAGGTCCTTAGCATCTTACATATTATGATTGCTGTATGGATTGGAGCGTATTTTTGAAGAATTTATGTTGGGATCCAGTATTGTGCGGTAGGTTTTTGGCAATTACTTCTGTGACCCCTATTCTATGGGCATAATAACTGTGTTTTTCATATTCTAATAATTTCTAGTTTGAGTGAATGCTATTCATTTTAATATTCTTACTCAGCTCTTTTTTATTTCTACTAACACTTCATAAATATTATTATTGTGTGTATTGTTACTTTAAATTTCAAAGCGATAAAATTACAACGAATGGACGAGAACAAAAACTACTTTGGTTTCAATGTCATTGTTGCCAGTGTCGAGTTTATTAGAAATCTTCAATTACATCATAATATTATGTAAACAAATAAATACCTACCCTGTTTATTGAAGTAGGAGTAAAATAAAAGTTGATTTATTTTAAATAGTGATCCATGGGATGAAATTTAATGTCACTGAAGACAAAATCATTTACACGTTATGTGGTGGTAAGAAATTTTCTTCCCAGTAAAATGCCAATAAACGGCATCTTTTAATTTGTTAGGTTTTGTCATCGTGTCAAAATTAAATACAGTAATAATACAAAATATAAGTGCACTAGCTGATGTAAGTTCTTATGGGTTATGAAAACAATCATAGCCTCATAACATATTGTTACCTGCGTGTCTTCCAGAATTTCTTGAAGAAATCTCAAAACGTTCGGCGGAATGTGCCCAGTGTCCTATGTTTCTGAACGAAATCTAAAACTAATTTTTCATTCTGACACTAAACGTCATTACGCACGTCACGTCACACGTCACATACGTCACGAGTATTATAAGAATTTCTGGCTTGATTTACAAAATAATATACTACTTATACAAGAATTAGGACTTAACCAGAGTCTCAAAGCCGTGCGAGTAGATAAACGAGATGAGGAAGTGGAAGGTCAGCGTTGGTCGGTGAGCAAGATGACGGAGTACGTGCCGGTAAGCGAGGGCGAGCAAGACGAGCCCATTGAGCTGCCAACCGAAGAAGACGGCTCGCTGCTACTGTCGACCGTGGCAGCGCAGTTCGCAGGTGCCAGCGGCCTGAAGTACCGAGTGAACGGGAGACTACGCGGCGTACGCCTCGTCGACGAGCGCCTGTCACCACCGGCGGAGGGCTGGCCGGCCTACCGATATTGGTGTGCCTTCCCACGCGCGGAATCGCCGCCGCCTCGACCACGATGCTCCGATCTTATAGTTCTCGGCTTACCATGGAAGACGACAGAAGAAGCTGTACGAGATTACTTCTCCTCCTTTGGCGATTTGCTGATGGTTCAAGTAAAACGCGATACGCGCACCGGACTATCCAAAGGTTTTGGTTTCATCAAATTCGCCGAGTACGAAGCTCAACTGCGTGCATTAGGCCGCCGACACATGATAGACGGGCGCTGGTGCGATGTTCGCATCCCGAACGGCAAGGACGGCTCGTCGACGGCTCATCGAAAGGTATTCGTCGGCCGTTGTACGGAAAATATTACAGCCGAAGATCTCAGAGAGTACTTCGGCTCCTTTGGTCAAGTGACAGATGTGTTTGTGCCGCGACCCTTTCGTGCATTCAGCTTTGTGACGTTTCTTGACCCAGAAGTAGCAAGGTCCTTGTGTGGACAAGATCATATTATAAAAGGTGTGTCAGTAAACATTTCAACAGCATCACCAAAGCGCGAAAGGTCCACTACTGCNAATATTACAGCCGAAGATCTCAGAGAGTACTTCGGCTCCTTTGGTCAAGTGACAGATGTGTTTGTGCCGCGACCCTTTCGTGCATTCAGCTTTGTGACGTTTCTTGACCCAGAAGTAGCAAGGTCCTTGTGTGGACAAGATCATATTATAAAAGGTGTGTCAGTAAACATTTCAACAGCATCACCAAAGCGCGAAAGGTCCACTACTGCAGCCAGTGGGCTCGGCTGGGGCCGTATGCTTGGCTGGCCAGCTGATGCATGGCCACTCCCGGCACCCCATCCCCTCGAGTCAAAGCCCTACCTCAAATACGAGTAAACTGTGCCTCCTGTTCTCCACAAACCTACATTGTTAATAGCTTTCAAATTTTATATGAAACAAATTGTGTAAATAATATATTATACCAAGTTATTTTTGTGTTTTTCAGTCTATCCAAATTTTAACACATCCCTTCAACGTGAGCCACAGCTATGAAGAAAAAAACTATTATCTTTAAAACCAATCTAATTTAATCAATATATATACATCCAAACTAAACACTAATTTGTTACCAAATATGGCTACTACAATCCTCACTACATCAGCTAAAAGTTTAAGCTAAGGTTTTGGATAACGAAATATTTAACTAAATTAAACAACACTAATTAAGATATCCTATCCTTTTATTATAAAAAGGGGGTTAAGTAAATGATAAACTACATTAAACTTCTAGAATACAACAAAAAAATCAACAGAGTTGCTAATTTTCAGAAATAATCATTAAAATTATTTTATTGTTTATCCACTGAACTGATGACTACGACTCTTCTGCCAAACTACAAACAATTGAAAAGAATTGTTTATCCATCTAATGCAATTAAAAAATGAAAAACCACATTTACCTTGTAAGCCTTAATAAATACTAGACATTCATAAACAAGTAAATATAAATAAGTTACAGCTCCCATGCTTTGTGACATCAAATGACTTAAAGTGAAACAGTTGCAATTATTAATGTATTAGCGAAGATTCATAATTTAACAATAATTGACCAGAAAGTTCAATTCATAATGCTGCCATACACAAATCCAAATTATATTAATATTATGGTATTTTACAAATTTTGAGCCATAACATTTTTAGGCTTCATAAAAATTCAGATAATGCATATGAGTCTTAGTATTTTTTCCTGTTCTCAACTCTTTTTTTTTACTGCATTTGTGGGCAGACGAGCATATAGCCCACCTTATGCTAAGTGGTCACCGTCGCTCATGGATGTCAGCAATGCCAGGAGCAGAGACAAGCCGCTACCTACCATAATGCAGTCGTGCGTTCTGATCGGAAGATCTACAGTCGTTACACCCGCATAATACAATTGAAGCATTGATCATGGTGGGTGACAGAATTCTCGTTTCTGACATTTAGGGGATCCGGTACCAATACCAGATTGGATCAGCTGGTCTATGCCAAAACTCAATAAAACATCTATCGTCTACCACTGGCACTGCTGTTAAGCTGGTGCAGTTGACTCTTAGTACACACAGATACAACTCTTTTGATTATCGTACGAGTCGCAATGAGAATAGAGTTCCCTAACTTTATCAGCAACGCCTAGATCTTAGTACAGCAGGTCAAGCGTTCAAACTGGAATGAACTTTCATTTTCGTTAGCTGATCTCAAGAAGTTAAGGAGAATATTTTACGGCGTGAACACTAGATTGTATTCGGTGACCACTTTCATAAATATAGGCCGCGTGCTCGTTCTTTGAGGAAATAAAAACAAATAAAAAACTGCCAAATGTTGCCATGAACACACTTCATCTTACGTATTAAGGTTTTTCATGAATCGTCCGTACTATCGGGTGCCAACATTAAGCCCAATTGAGTTCTATTTCACTGTCGGCCACAAAACACATTTTGGCGAACAACGTTTAAAATCTACGTCACCACGAGCTAAACTTTTAATCCCCGTTATGGACTTTGTTTTTTAATTTCGAATGTTCCAAATGTATACAGACATTACAAACACACGTGCATTACTACTGCCAGTAGTCTGATTTCCAGTCTGCTGCGCTGGTCAACGAAGGTACTTAGCCGCCCAATCGACTCGCGCCGCGCCGCTCCCAACGGTAGTAGCTTCTGTGAATTTTTCAATTCAAATACCTTACTGATATTTTGAATGGCTTTTAATATTAAACCGAGGCACAAATTACCTATACAGCGATTTGATCGTAATTGCAAACTGTGTGTCTACAATCTGTCCCGCATTTCTTTAGTCTTGACGGGGATCGGATTCAATGGTAGAATCGGACCACGTGGCTGTATATCGACTTCATAGTTCCAATATGTCTGATGATTATCCAGGGATTCCAAACCCATAAAAAAGATCAAGAAGGGAAACAAGTTCTGAAGAAGAAATAAGAAAAACCTACTACTACTTTTGAAATCGTCGTGGCCTAAAGGATAAGACGTCCGGTGCATTCGTGTTGAGTGATGCACCGGTGTTCGAATCTCAGGCGGGTACCAATTTTTCTAATGAAATACGTACTCAACAACTGCTCAGGATTGACATCCACGGCGAAGGAATAACATTGTGTAATAAAAATCAAAGCCGCAAAATTATAAAATTATAATTACGCAATAAATAATATTGCGTAATTACTCGTGGTAGGACCTCTGGGGAGTCCGCACGGGTAGGTACCACCACCCTGTATATTTCTGCCGTGAAGCAGTAACGCGTTTCGTTTTGAAGGGTGGGGCAGCCGTTGTAACTATACTGAGACCTTAGAACATAATATATCTCAAGGTGGGTGGCGCATTTACGTTCTATATATCTATGGGCTCCAGTAACCACTTAAAACCAGCTGGGCTGTGAGCTCGTCCACCCATCTAAGCAATAAAAAAAATATCAAAATCTTCAATAAAAACGGAAAATTTTATTTAATTTCCTAATTTATATTTATCGTTTTAACAAGTTTAAATCTTTAAGTTAACCAGCAAAACATTAAACAAGCAAATCAATCTCACGCAGCAGTTCATATTCATTGTATTAAATAGATTACGTGTAGTCAACAATATGTCTAAGTGTTCATTCAAAAAAAACCCGATACTTTCATGAATAAATTAACTGGTGAGCTCACCTCGGTGCGCTCTCAGAGGAATCGTTCGGAATAGGGAGGTGTCTATTTTAGAGCCGGCGACATATCGTGCGGCGCCGAGGTACGCAGCAGCAGCTCCTCCGGACTGCGCCATCAAGGGTACAATCGGAGGAGCCGGTAGCTGAGCCGCGACCACACTGCGGCCTCGGGCACCGGACGTACGCCTCAACACTTGCTCACCCCCGCCTGTTTCATGTACTACTTCACCCCTATACAAAAATAATCATACTATAAAGTCTTATACCTTTAAACGAGCAATTCTTGTATAAATATGTATAATCTGAATCTCGGAAACGGCTCCAACGAATTTTATAAAATTTAGTATACAGGGGATTTCGGGGGCGATAAATCGATCTAACTACGAATTATTTTCAGAAAATGTTGTTTTATTCGTGTTTTCAATAATCAACTTTATGACTCTTCCCGACATCTATTGGTGAATAATAATACTATTAAGCTATTTCAGCATTTTTTTTTTATTTTTTCTATGCTGATAGTTTTGAGTGGCTATTTCAGCTTCGCCCTAACGTTTGTAGGTGAGCTCGCGGGGCTCAACCGGAGAGTTGCTAACACTGACCCTAGCAAGAGCAGTGCTTCGCAGAATCTACCACCGGATCGGAAACGCGACCCACTGAGAAGATCCGGCGAGAAACTCAGTGGGCTGTGTCTATGGGTTAGTTCGCTCATCGAGCCCTTCGTCGTAAGCGACGGGTTCGACGAGGACGGTGACCGGAAAAACGTTTGTCAAAAGTAGGATTCGAACCCACGCCCTTAGAGAGGACCAGAACAACTCGCATCCACTTTTCGGGGACAAGGGAACCTTGAGTCTGGCGCCTTAGACCGCTCGGCCATCCTGACAACGGTTAGACCAAGAAAATGAATTGTTTATTTATATTATTTGTGTCTTTTTCATATAAAATATAAAAAAATACCGAACAAAGCTCGGTCATCGTTTAGTAGAAAACTTATACGTAAAGCACAATTTCTTTAGAATAAGTGCAAATATTTTTTTTAATTATCCTAAAGAGGCAGATATGTTTCCAAGCCGTCTTAATGTTAAACAGTACCGGAACTAGTTAGTACATTCGTCTCTTTTGGTAATAGTCTGTCACACAGTGTAACGAAAGCCACTCGAAAATCGCACGTCAGCAACTTATCGCTTAGCTTTATGTAAGACGTTAAGCAAGGGCGGATCCAGCTTTGGCGCCAAGAGGGGGTCGCATAGTCGTGGGCAAGTTAAGAACTTATAATTTAATTTTGATAACAATAGATAATAAATAAATCATGACGTTCTTCAATTAGTCCAAGTTAGTTCAAGTCCTGGAACTAGCTCAGGGGGGTCATGACCCCCATGACCCCCTGGATCCGCCGTTGACGTTAAGAGTACGTAATATTTGTTGACTGCTAGTTTCGTAACACTGTTATTTGTTTGTTATTGGTCATACTGCTAACATTTTTGCCTGTGTACGTTTAGAGCATTGTATGTGTCTGTAAAAAGTGTGTTCGACACATAGAGTTACTATACTTATTAACTCCATGGTTCAACATAATCTCAGTGTAGCCTGTCCTCTATTGTGGTAGCTAAAACAAATCACAAGTCCATTCTACTATATAAATCAGAAGATGGTCACTTCCTTATCATTCGCAGTCTCCTTATAACATTGTCCTGGTAAGATTAATGTGCGGCTTTCTCCTGACAAAAATTAGGTCAATAATTTTGGGTGGCACCCTGGATGGCTTAGATTCACAAATCAGCCCAGCAGATGGCGCTGCAGTCGGTATCTATACTACAACTAAACGGCTGGATCGACTGAATGAATTTTTGCAGGACAACGTCTGTCGGATCCGCTAGTGCATATAAAAAACACTGAAAACGAACTATAAAACGTGTAACTAGTTAAAAACATTACCCGAGTATATCAGCAAAACGATCTCGAAGTGGCGCCAAGTTGACCAGAGGTACTGGTGCTACTGAAGCCGGCGTCTTGTTTACGGGCGCAGCCGCTTGACCTAAGATCTCTGTGTCTCCTCTAATGCTCGTCCTAAGATTAAAAACATCATCATTGATATATTGGAAATGCTGAATCGTTATTAACAAAAGCACCAACCTCCTCGCTCTCGACGCAGGTGGAGGTAATACAAGGGCAGCGCCGACGGCGAAGTATGGAAATCTGGAAACAGGCAGTTTAAAAAGCATCAATGAGTACAAACCCTAAAAAGTTTTTATAAGATTATCAATAAAGCCATTTGATCATGTGCGCGCATGTTGTTTCACTTGTTTGTACGAGTTCACGACTGAACTGTGCTTAAGCGGCTATCGTATTTGAATTCCGTTAATTGGATTGCAAGAATAGGTATCACATCCGTCAGTTAGTACTTCAGTTCAGAAATCAAGTAGAATCGACTCGTAATGATTCAACATCTACTTAAGTACCTATAGCATTATCAAAAACTAGTTTTGTTGAGTCGAGAACGATTACTCTATGAACCTTTAAACTAACCGTAGAGCTTGAGGTGCAGTAGGTCGATCCCTTGGTGGATATCGCAGTAGAGCAGCTAGTAGAGCAAGTGCTGGGGGAGAGGCCGACGGCACAACTCGCGCTAATGGTACGCCTGCACTTATAGGGAACCGAAAACGCAAAGCTTCCGCGAGAGAATAGCCTTCAGGCCACTCATCGCGATCGGGAGTACCGAGTGTAGCACATATTTTATGCAACTGATCGATTTCTGAATTCCCTGGGAATAACGGACGACATGTGTACAATTCCGCTGTGATGCACCCTAACGCCCATAAATCGATGGGTGCTCCGTATCGGGTGTCGTGTAGCAGGACTTCGGGTGCTCGATACCATCGCGTCGACACATAATCCGTGTAGGGCGGCCTTGACCGGACTTCTCTGGCAAGACCCAAATCGGCGATTTTCACCAATTCCGGTCCGCAGCACAGCAAATTTTCCGGTTTTAGATCGCGGTGAAAGAAGCCGTGTCGATGCATATGTGCTAGCCCTTGCAGAACCTGGTATATGATGTTTCTTAGCACTGGTTCTGGGAATGCACGATCGGCATCCCGTATCAGCTGGTACAGATTTCCTCGCATATATTCAAATACGAAATACAGAGTGTCGTTCTCTCGTATGACTTCCCTTAATTTAACTATATTGGCGTGGTTGAGTTTCTTAAGCGATTTCACTTCTCGAAGATTCATGGCTTCATCCCATGAATAATATTTACGTTTCATACGTTTGATAGCAACTTTTTCCCCTGTGTCTCGTCTTTGTGCGAGCACTACCGATCCATATGTACCATCGCCTAGTTGCTGTAAGACCACGTAGCGATTCATATTGTTTCTAAGCAATCATCACTGTGCTTTATTTCATAAAAATGATGCTCATTCAAGACAGTAATACATCAGTATCTGTGAAAGTACGGTTTGTGATTTCAATTAGTCAGAAACTCTAAATAAACATCTAATGGCTTACTTTCAGTATCCTTTGATAGATAATGTTACGAATTTATGCTTGAGAAGAAATTATTTGGAGATACTAAAGGATTATCTTTCATTACAGGCATCACTTTCAAAATATTAGTAATACTTTTAAGTTAATTCAAAGTACTTATGTAAAAGATTTTTAATAAAATTTAAAATCAGCTTAGAGTCAACATCGTCATGTTATTTTCACAGGTTACCATGGAAACCTAGTAACAACCGTACAGCTGGATATTGATGGAAACATGGTTGGATTTAAATGTGTAATGAAGATTGTTTATTAACTGTTTAGTATGTGTTAAAGTGCGCAAATGTGGAAAAAAGAAACAAAGCCCGCTGGACGTAATTTCTGGGGATCCCCTAAAAAGTCAACTGAAAAAGTCTCAGTAAATAACCACCATTTTACTGAGACTATATTGCATCTCATATCATCTCGTTTTATTTAATTTTATCCCAATTTCTCAATTGATTAAAGTCTCAAATTAATGAACTTCATTAATGTCGCTCCATTACAATTTTTATAACTGATCAATGATCATACAAAAGATTAGACTTTGTGGTGTAATGCCTTCGCTTTTGCAGTTGGAAAAATGGAACATACTATAATTAATTGTCATTGCCAAACTACAGCTGATCGTGTATTCCTAATCGATGTAGTTTAAACATAGTAGGTAGTGTAGGTACACTTAATAATTAAGAATATAAAGTTAGTAGTCGGCAATATAAACTATTAATAAATTTAAAAAATGAACTTCATTAAAAGAAGTATTGTTCATTGTAAAAAATGTCTAAAAGGAATTCACAGAAGTTTCAGCCAAAATTGTTGCGTAAAGGTGCAGTATTTACATCGCTTATAACCTAAATATCATTTACAATAAAGTATCAGATCATTTACAACAAAGTATCAACAAACATAAAGAAAACAGTAACAAATAACAGTAACAAAAACAACCCATTAGGATTTCATAGACAAAATTTAATTATATAAATATATTCTCAATCCGTTTTTGAAGGAGTTCAAAACACAGTTTTTTTCATGTTGTAAATATATATACATACTTATATGTACCTATATCTTTATGACACTATGTACCTATGATGTAGTGAAAGTTTGAATTCAACCTGGTTATTCTGTTGCAATAATTCTTAAAGTAAAGAGTTTTATGGATAAATGAAACCCACCAATTTAAAATTTGTTATAAAGCAAAAAAATATATTTCATACTTAATTAAAAAATTTGGCTGCTGTTTTTACAAATTTACAAAATATTTATTTTAGAATGCGGCAAATGAAAATTCTCAAGTTGAAGAATGGCCACGACGTGTGGTCTCTGGAATCCAACCAACTGGTAGCCTGCATGTTGGGAACTACTTTGGTGCAATCAGACGCTGTGTGCGCTTGCAACAGCAAGGCAATGACTTAACACTGTTTATTGCTGACTTACACTCCTTAACTGCACAGCAGGTTTGTTTAAGTTTTAAACACACTAGATGTACCTGTATGCTGTACCAATGTAATCTATACATCACTACTATTCTTAAAAGCAAAATAGCTGTTACAAATGGACATGTCATAATTATGAGGCTTCTGTATTTTGTTATTTGTCTCTTAACATTGAACTCATCTTTTCATTTCTATTACAAACAAACATGTTCCGTTTCAACACTAATCCTCATAAATACTCTTTGAATCCTTAATCTATAACAGAGATTAGATGCTATGATATAAATAATTAAAAGTAGGTAATCGAAGTAGGTCAACCAAGTTTTCAGCAAGTTTGGCTCTGTCCCTGGNCTTCTGTATTTTGTTATTTGTCTCTTAACATTGAACTCATCTTTTCATTTCTATTACAAACAAACATGTTCCGTTTCAACACTAATCCTCATAAATACTCTTTGAATCCTTAATCTATAACAGAGATTAGATGCTATGATATAAATAATTAAAAGTAGGTAATCGAAGTAGGTCAACCAAGTTTTCAGCAAGTTTGGCTCTGTCCCTGGCATTGCTGACTGCCATGAGTGACAATAACCACTCACCATCAGATGGTATACTCCACCGCATATAGACACAATGTAATTACCATACCTTCATTAATCTTAATCTGTTTGCAGTAAAATAGTCAGGAAGGTGAGACAACAAAAGCACTAAAGATATATGCTTTAAAAACTTTCAGAACCCTGAAGTATTGCAAAACAATATCTTGGAACTAACAGCATATTTATTAGCAAGCGGTATTGATCCAGAACAGAGCACATTCTTCGTTCAGTCCGCTGTTACAAGACATGCAGAGCTGTGCTGGCTGCTTGCATGTTTGGCTACTAATGCCAGATTGGCCCATCTACCCCAGTATAAAGAGAAGAGTGCTAAGATGAAGGAAGTGCCCATTGGATTATTGCTTTACCCAGTTTTACAGGTAAAAAATATACTGAGTTGAATAACAAGTTTAAGTACATGATTAAATTATGATTTAGCATCTTTTAAACATGCAAATCTATATTTATAAATTTGTTTCTTCTAATTTTTTTTTAAATTTGAGAACATTTCTTTGTTTTAGTGATAAGACCATCTCCTGCTAATTGTATGTAGTTGTCTTACATTTTATGGGATTGGCATCAAAAATGTATTTATATGTTTTTTTGTCATAAAAATTGTTGTATAATTTAGTTATATCAAAAGTGATTTTTAGTGAAAATATCGGTTTTTTTTTCTACATTTTAAGAGGACCAGTGGACGAGAATGCATTTTACGAGTCTTAGATTCTGATTTATAAGAAAATAATGTACATATTTTCAAATCTCACTTGCTTGTCACCATTCTCGTCGAACTTGTCGAATGCAATATATCGAATAAGAGTTAGATAAGCGCCCTATAGACACAACCCACTGAGTTTCTCACAGAATCTTCGCGATGGAGCGCGATTTCGATGTAGATTCAGCAAAGCACTAGTTTTTCAACAATGGTCAGTGATAGCTATTCTTTGAGTTTGAGCCCGTGAGCTCACCTACCAGTCCGCGAGTGGCCGGAATAGTCCCTAAGGTTAGGTCAAAAACCTACGTGCGTCTCTTTTTAAACATGCTATTTGTTTTCCGTAAAAAAAACTTTATTTGATTTATATTGACAGGCAGCTGACGTGTTGATTTACCGCGGTACCCACGTTCCTGTAGGCGCTGATCAGATACAACACCTGCAGGTTGCCTCGCAGTTGGTTAAGACCTTCCATCATAGATACGGAAAGACATTCCCAACACCGAGACCCCTATTGCCAGGTTTGCCAGACTATGTTCTTAAAACCACCAGTGTTGATATACTTTTAGAAATTTTACCTTTATATATTCTCGTGTAGTCGTCGTGGCCTAAAGGATAAGACGTCCGGTGCATCCGTATATCTTCCACAGGGGGCTTCGTGCGAGTTTCTTAACGTTCTCGATAGCGTAAAAGTTAACTCAAGTTTGTGTGTAGTTGGAACAGCGCCCCTAGCGACAAACGTAGGGAAACGTTCCATCTCAATACAAATTAGAGTTAACTTTTACGCTATCGAGAACGTTAAGAAACTCGCACTAAGCACACTGAGCGTGTGATATTGCTCGGTAGACCGACGGTCCGAATATTGTTGTTCGGAACTTGTTTAAGTGCAATCTTATCTTGAAAATGTCGTAAGATCCAGGTATCTGTCAAATATCTTGTGTTGTGTGACGGCTACCCGCCACAATGGTCTCCTGTCTCCTACCTACTGAACGTATTATACTATACCAAGCAAGCAAGCAAGCATGGGGCATGCCCATTGTAAAAAGCTAATTTGTTAAAACTACTCAAGCGCCAACTGTCGCAAGTTACAGTAAAGAGTACTGTAAATTTAAATATCTCTGACGTGCCCATGACAAGAAACTTTCAACTTAGACCGCTCGTCTGATCCTTTTAGGTCACTACGACTTGCTAGCTACTACGGTAGTACTAATAGAAAATGCAATCGTTATGAAATTGTATCAAACACTTTACAGACGACGGTAGCGATAGAATACTGAGCCTAAGGGATCCAACAAAGAAAATGTCCAAATCGGATTCTGATCCGAAATCTAGGATCTTGCTGAGCGACACGGATGACGTTATTCACAAGAAAATTCGGAAAGCAGTCACAGATTTTACTCCACAGGTTCATAGTATTTCATTTATGGTTCCTGTCACCAGGCTCCAAAATATGTATTTTTCTTCTATTTAATTATATAGTTTTATAAGAAAGTTGCAATTACTAGTCAGTTTTTTTAGAGCGTGCAACGAATGTGTGCGAAATTTAAAGATCCACCAATGCTCTCGCTTATCTTCAATAGCTTAATTTTCATACGCGACCTTTGCCCACGACCATTTATTAATAGTAAGACGTGTGGTGAGTCGCACAGATAAGTGTCATTGGGATTGGTCTCGTTAACCATACAATTTCTCCCCTGAAACCTCATATTTTAGTGATGCTGACATTCATGTTACAATATCTTTAGGCTCCGGTAACCACTTAATAACAATTGGGGCCAGAGTTCGTTCCACCATCTAAACAAAAAAAATCATTCAATAATTTTTTTCTGAGATTTATTATGGCAGTACATAAAAGGTTTTAATAACGTAATACCTCATTAAAATTCAAAATATTTAAAAATTATTTATTTTATACTTTTACTATATTATCATGTTACTTAAGGATATTTAAGTATAAGGATTTAGATTCAATAATTTTAATAAAATAATGTTGAAATATACATTTTCCCATTACATTTATCCACGATTGACTCTCAATATTAAAATTATGTGTACACAATGATGCGCAAGTGATTAAACTAAACAAACTATCATTAATTTGGGAAAACGAATAATTCAAGTCAGTGACACTTATAATTAAATACAAATACATAGACAGCTCTATGTAAACTAATAGCAGTAACATATTGTAGTCCTTTGACAATTTACCATATTGCTTTAGAATCAACTAGTGTATTACTGTTATACTCTAGTCCTCTGGATAATAATATTGATAATTATTTAAGAACTTATTTATTTTAATCATAATTAGTCGAGCAAATTTCTGATTCATAAAAGAGATTTAAAATAATTTAACCATAAAACATTTTAGGTAGCTTTCTTTTAATTGCTCATGGTGACTTTTTAAATGAGTCATTATATGGAACTACATTACAGTAATGACATATTTGAATTATAATATTTTTTCCTAAACAATGTATAAGAAGCCTTATTAGGAAGGAAGTACCATGAAATTACACTCCCCATATAAACTTTGAAACCCTAATTCACCCTTTAAGGGAGAGAGAGGAGCAGATAATATAATAATATACAACTTTGAAAAACGCTGATATAAGTGCACATTTATTTCAGAAATGTACACAACTTCATAATCCTTACTTCCTACTTATAGATACATCAGCTTACTAGTAACTTATTTCTATTGTTTTAATATATTTATCACCCACCTAAATAACTAATCACCAACCAAATTAACCAATCACATCTGTATTACTTCAAAGCAAATAATTGTCTGTTAATCCAGGTTACATATGATCCAAAAGAACGGCCCGGAGTATCAAATCTTATAAAACTACACTGCCTTGCTGAAGATAAACTCCCTGAAGAAGTAGTTGAAGAATCAGATGGTATGACAACGGCGCAGTATAAAGGTGTTGTTGCAAATGCTCTCTGTGAAGCCCTGCGGCCTGTACGGGAACGGGCAGTCAGTTTGCAAGCCCAGCCAGCCTTCCTGCAAGCTGTGTTGCAGCACGGCGCCGTCCGGGCTCGCCAGCGTGCAGATGAAGTCTATCAGGATGTCACAAACAAACTTGGGTTAGCAGCGCCACGATTACAGTCAAACCAGAGCCGCCACTCAATGACTTGACGACACTAGTAAATATAATGAGGTCTGTTGTTTTTAGTGCACATAGTTAGATTGATACAATGTGAGAAATAAATCATGAGGTTTAACAATGATGTTGTGATTTCTTCTATAATCCCTCTCAATTTGTCTTTAGCTGAATATGGGCTGAACACCAATTAGGTAGATTAACATGGAGTATCTATATATCTGGCATTAAGAAATTTATATAAAGCTTATTACTTTTTTTATTTAATAATACTGAATAGATTAATTAATTAAATATTAAAACTTTATATATCTGAACAAATACCATTTATAGTTGAAATTCCTTGATGAATCACAATCTGTGGTGATGCTGGTACACTTGCACTGTTGGTTCCTGATGTGTCTGAGGAGGTGGTTGAGATTGTTGATGGTTTCTCTCTCGTAACAATGTCACTATATCTCTAAGAAGATCGACAGCTTGGGCAACAGATTCTGCCTGTTTCTCAGCAGCTAAGGCACTACGCATTGCAGCTTCAGCAAGTAACTCCTCAGTGCTTGGTCGAGGAGCATCAGAAGTTGACGGAACTGAAGTATCAGAACGCATGTCGTCGTCTAGTGGAGTCAGTTTACGATCTTCATCAGAGTGGCTTCCCCCTCTTGGTGTGTGTGCTGTGAAAAAAAAACAAAATTTATAGCATAAATCAACTCGCCCAAACCATCTAAGAGAAACTGAAAATGCAAATACATTTCATTTATTGATTATTGATTGATTGTTGAAGGTGTTGGAATTTTCCCAAGATGTTTTTGTGATAACCCAGCCAACAATGTTAACGATCGATAACAAAGTTATATTGTCATAGTAAGACATCATTGCATTGTAGCATTTTCAAAATGACACACATTTTAACCCTTTGCTGTCTGAGGACAACACAGTGATGTTGTGTGCAAAATAGCAGCTAACAGCCAGCCACATCTCAGTCTTATCTTGTACAAAATAGGGGTCAAAGGCCAACCACACTACAGTTGTGTTATGAGCATAGTATCGCTCAGTGACAGGCGACAGCAGTTTAGCATCTTGTATTCTATTGGTATCTTTGAACAATAAGATCAACAAAAAGATTGTCAAAGAACATGTAAATAATCAAACATTTAAGAGAAACCATTTTTTTTATTTATTTACGTATTTTTCAAATTTCATGAAAGTAGGGAAACAGAGTTGAAAACTTAGGGCAACTAACGATAAGATTAGTAGAACTTAACAATTTATAATTTCCCGATAATGTCAAGAACGACAAGCCAATTAGCACTCGGACACTAAGCAAATAATATTAAGATACGTGCAGATAGCAGTGTTAATTTAGCTTCACTATACTTACACACACAATTGCTATTGTTGAAGATATTTTGGAGACGCTCTTCGGCAGAGGAAAGATCACCGAGGGCACCACCTGCAGCTGATTTTCTTCGTGCCTTGTATTTTATATCAACCCAGTACTGAAATTTTTTTTACAATTTAGTTAACAATATATAGCTAATACGGTTAATATGCGGTTAAAATATAAAACTATGCAGTATTAAACAAATAAAGGAACTTGCACGGGATTGCTCTGCTATATGCGCTCGTGCTTAAGATAGTAAAAATAAAACTCACGCGAGACCACTTATCAGGCGACTTTCTTGCGCCTCCAGTATCAGCGGCAGCAGCATTTAGTCGCTCCGCCAGCAACCTCCAAAGCTTACTCGAACTATAGCGTGAATAAATTGCCTGTTTGCCCGCTGCAAAATCAGGGTGCTCTTCCATAAAAGTCAACAATAAGTCCAGTTGCTCTGAGCTTACCCTGGATCTAATTAAACAAGTACTCATTTCTGCTTCGACGACATGTTATATATAAAATTAGTATACTTTAAAAGCTATACTAATAAAATGACAAAAATAATATTTATCTTTATCAATAATCTTGTCAATATTTTTAAAAAGTTGAAACCTCCGATTGAAACTTGAAAGTATCTACATTATTGTTAATTTTGATTAGTCTATTACATAGGACATAGGCAAAGAAACAAGGCCCGTTCAGCCAAAAATTTTGTAGTAAACACTAGAGTCTAGCAAGCGAAAGTAGACACTCGAATTAGGTCTATGGTCAAAACAAGATTGCGAGTAGTTGGTGATTTGTTGTGACTTTTTTGAGCATTTTTCTAACTCAAAAATGAATAAAACTATTAAAAGTGGAGTGAGGGAGATGTCGTTTCGCATGATTTCTAAATTTGAATAAAAACAACAGGAGAAAAACGCTGTATTCAAACAGAAACAATATTGTTTACGTGTGGTGTTGAATTTCATAAGTTAGTATGACCTTAGAAGTTGATACATTGTTTGAAATCGTAATTATTATTTATATTTTTACAAAACTATTTCTCTATTTCGATCCATATTCAGTTTATATTACGTTAAATAGTTTCATAATAATACATTATTGTTATCTAACATACCTTAATAAATGTTACATTGTAATTTTAACACAACTTGTTTTCTTTACAGAAAATCTGGTGGATGTAGCAGGGGTTGATGAGATAGTGAAAACTATTGAAAAACTGACTTTGGAGCAAAAAGACAGGATAAGAACCCAGAACTAATACTTGGATAAAATAGCTTCAATCACTGGTAAGTTTTTCCCAAGTACATAAGTTTATATAAAGATATAATCTAATAAATGCAGCACTTATGTAATCATTCTGTTTCATCATTCTTTACAGAAGTGAGTGTTACAAAATAAAAAAAAATAAAAAAGGAAGGTACAGTAAATGCAGGCGTCTGGATTACCCCAGGGAAAAAACGGCCACATAAGCTCACAGTGTCCGACTTAGATAATTTCGACATAGATGTTATTCGTAACAAAATTAACGAATTTTACATCGTTAGAAAACAAGTTCTTACGTTGAGAGAAATTTAAGAAAAATAAGAATAGGCGTTCATTGTTAATTGAACGTTATGACAGATCTGCCTGGAGACATCGGTTTTTAAGAACCATGGCTTTGAAACGTAGAGAAGGAAAGTCAATAATTATTTATTTATACGAGACCTATGTTCATAAAAACTACAAGCCCAAGAAGTCTTGGCAAGGTCCATCTACAAGTGGTGCAATTGAAAATGTTTCGACAGGGAAAAGGTATATAATTGTACATGCTGGATCAGAGAAAGGCCCTGTGCCAAACTCATTGTTAGTCTTTAGCACTAAATCCAAAATGACGGACTACCACCGCGACATGAATACTGTAAACTTTAATAAATGGCTAAGAGAAAAGCTTTTTTTTAATTTTATTTTATTGCTTATTTTTATTGCTATTGATAGGTGGACGAGCTCACAGCCCACCTGGTGTTAAGTGGTTATGGAGCCCATATACATCTAGAACGTAAATGCGCCCTCCACCTTGAGATATAAGTTCTAAGGTCTCAAGTATAGTTACAACGGCTGCCCCACCCTTCAAGCCGAAACGCATTACTGCTTCACGGCAGAAATAGGCAGGGTGGTGGTACCCACCCGCGCGGACTCACAAGAGATCCTACCACCAGTAATTACACAAATTATAATTTTGCGGGTTTGATTTTTATTACACGATGTTATTCCTTCACCGTGGAAGTCAATCATGAACATTTGTTGAGTACGTATTTCATTAGAAAAATTGGTACCCGCCTGCGGGATTCAAACACCGGTGCATCGCTTCAACACGAATGCACCGGTCGTCTTATCCTTTAGGCCACGACGACTTCATCTTATACCTAATTTAAATGAGCCGAGTGTAATAGTTATGGATAACGCCAGTTACCATTTAATCATTGTAAATAAAGCTTCTACATCACAAAATTGCAAAAAGGACATAAGAGAATGGCTTACTTTGAATGATACTCCGTTTGAAGAATACCGCACAAAAGCAGAGCTATGTTTTATAAAACGAAACACACCAGAACCAGTATATGAAGCTGATGAACTCCTGAAGCAGAAGGGGCATGAGGTATTACGACTTCCCCCTACCACTGCGATTTAAACGCCATTGAGCTGGTATGGAGTTTGGCTAAATGTAAAATGGCAAGTAAAACTATTGCCCTAGCGGCAGTGGAGTTAGAGGGGATTATAAAAGAATCGTTTGAAACCATAACTCCAGAGGAGTGGAAGAACATTACTGATCATGTCATACATGTTGAAAATAAATATAAAGAAAGGGACAGAATTACAGAAAATAACTTAGAAAGTATTATTATTAATGTAGAAAACAGTGATTCCAGTGACTCTAATGAATCTTTTCACATGGAAGTTATAGATTCAGATTTTGATCATGAAAGTGAATATATCAAAATTATAATAGAATATTGTTTTTTTTTTAAAATCAGATTGCTACATAATACCTACTCTTATTTTTGATTCAGACGTAGTAAGCTGATTTTTCGAAATGTCACGTGTTTCTTTGATTTGGATCAATATAGGTAATGATTTTACATCTCTGAATAGAAATTACATTTTACGCGATTAGCGCTAGCCATTATAATATTATTATTTTTAACTTACCTAACCTAAGCCACTGGTGGGCAAAGGCCTCCCCCGAATCCTTCTGGGAACTTGAATTTATAGAAATCGTATTTATCAAAAACTTAGTGATTAGTTTCTTTTGATAAGAGGTTACCTAGGTAAGTTAGTGCTACTACTACCGCAGTATTGATTTATTTCATTGACTTATTCCCATTCTTGGACCTATTCACATGCAGTCGAGCAGAAGTGTACAAATAATACTATTTTTCAGCAAAAACTAATTATTGTATATTATAAAGTATCAAATTAGGATATTCCAGATATGTCATACTAATTTTGGGGTTGCTATACTGATATTTTTTAAATTTGCCCCGCTTTTTCAGTCTCTACTTTCATTTGCCAGACTCTAGCTATTTTGGTATTTAAACTGAAATGGAATGGAATGAAAATTAACATTAAATTAATTTAATGTCTCAAAGTAATCGTTTTCATTACATTTCATCTCATTTCATTTCACTCCATATTATCATTTTTCATTAAAATAAGAATATAAATTAAAATAAGACATGTCTTAAAGGTCTCAATTACCAGATCATAAAATCCCATAAAAAAATGTAGGTACCTACGTAAATCATAAATTATTTAATTTAATAATTATTATTTAATGTTAATTGCGATTGAAGTGTAAATACACTACAAATTTTAATTTAAATAAATTAAAATAAAATATAAAAAAAATGCAGTTGTTGTTATTTTACATTTCATGTTCTTGAGTTTTCTTCCAGTAATTAGGTATGTATGTATTTTTTTTTTTTAAAGAATTAAAAGATACAATTGTGCATGTTTTTCGTATAATATGTAAAATGTATGTTTTTACCTCGTATATATATTTATAGTTTTTTTTCCTTTTGGCTGTCACTATAGCTTTACCATCTTTATCATCAGAATTGTCTTAGCAATTTAATACTACTATTAAATACATGTAATGACATAAGTACTTGGTATTTGTGTATTTATTATTCTTAATTTTTTTATACTGGTAACTGGGGTTAAAAATATAAGATTTTAAACCTTAAATTAGACTTTAAAATGTTGTAAAATCATTTCTTTTGTATAGAGATATTACATAGTTAAATATAAATAGGGCAAAGACAAAACATCTTGTTTTTCTCATGTTAAATGAAAATTTGAAAATGAAAATGAAAAAATTAAAATTCATTAAACTATTCTAAATCTGTGTGTCAGGATATGGTTGAATTTTGAGCAATGGGTGGTTACTAGTCCTTAAAAAGCTAATCATTATTTGAAAAATATTTTTAATGTCGCAATGCAAACAACTGTTATTATTAATTTTTATAATTAATTTCCAGTTAACTGAAAAATGTTAGGACAGCAATTGAGAGTTGCAGCATCTCATGCTGAAGCTTGTACGGGACGAATGAGAGCGTGGCGAATACACGCTTATGGACCTACTACTGAGTTGAGGCTTGAAGAAGCACGCGTACCTCCACTAAGAGCTCCAGATGAGATCTTAGTTCGGGTTCATGCATCATCAGTGAATCCCATTGATGTTGCTATGATTGGTATGTTTTTTTTATTCCCCTTCCTAGGTAGACATGAGCATGCGGACCACCTCAGTGAGTAGTTACCATCGCCCATGGACGTCAGCAACTCCAGGGGCAGAGCTAAGCTGCTGCCTACTGTTAAGTACTCTCCACAAACCTCATTTGAAGAAGGACATGTCAAGGCGCTCAGGAAATACCGTGGAAAGGAGCTCATTCCAAAGGCAGATAGTATGTGGCAAACAAGATCACTGGAAATGTACTGTGGATAAACACAGTGGCTCCAGGTAGTACGGAATAGTACCTGAATTGTAGGTAGTTGAATAAATTATATGCAATTTTTTTGGTAAATGACTAAAGAATTGCTAAGTGCAGGGTGTAGCCTATTGAAGCATACTGGTACGGAGACTATGATAGTTGTAGTGCTAATGACTAGGTGACTTCACTTACAGGCCCTAATGAAGATTTGACAGTAGGAAGGTAGTGACCCTGAGCTATATGACCCATCAAATCATACTCTCATCATCATACTCTTCATTGCTATAGCATGTGTGATACTTTTGAACCAAGCCAAGTGTGATAAGCTAGAGTCGTTTAATATTCCAGGAGGTTATGGTTCTAAAATATTAAACACACTGCGAACCATAGAAAGTGGTGAAGGGATAGAATTCCCTTTGATAGCGGGACGTGATTTTGTGGGCGAAGTTCAAAGGGCTGGTGTGGGAGCAAAACTAAAGCGTGGAGAGCGAATTTGGGGAGTTATACCCCCTCATCGCCAAGGGGCACATTCTGAATATGTAGTTGTGAAAAATTCCTGGGTAAGTTTTATTATCAAACCAACAACATCCATAGAAAGTAACAATTAAGAAATAAAAATCTTCTTTTTCTCCACCTTATTATCATTCTAATCATTCTCTTCCATTTTCTTCTATCAACCGCCATCTCAACGATTACTCCTCTCTCTCATATCGTCATTCACACACTCCATCCATGTCTTCTTCGGTCGACCTCTTCCCCTCTACCTTGCACTACCATTTCCATAATATATTTCCTAGTCACATGCATCTTTTCTATACGCATCACATGTCCATACCGCCTGTAGGGTCTGCTGCGGGAGTCTTGGTTCAGGCAATATGGGGTTTAGGTCCGTTACTGGAATGACTTATGTCCAATTTCACACAGCAATTTACACAGAAACGGTTAGAAGGAGATTCAATGAGCACAAGCACAGGTGGATAGTTCACAGTAAACTGTGTAAAAACGATTCCAGGCAAAGAAGGAGACATAAATTGTATACACTAAACATTCAATATAAACTTAGTCACCACACACGCTAACCACATTAATTAAGAAATAGAACTAATTTGTATAAATCTTTATTTATTCAATTTTTTTTTTAATTTTTTTTTTCTAATCTGTAAAGAAAAAGAAATAAAACTAATTTGTATAAATCTTTATTCATTCAATTTTTTTTTAAATTATAATAATACATTCCTGCATATTAGCATAGCATTAATAATACATATTATTAGCAAATATCTATATATTAATATGTGAAGCAAAAATTTTATATCCCTTTTTACGAAAATTGCGCGGACGGAGGAGTGTGAAATTTTCCACACTTATATAGAGAAGAAGTGCACAATGCAAATATTTTGTTAAAATAATGCATAAAAGTTACATTAAATAAATAAAGAAAACATTACACATACTACATACCATGTATTTGACGCACACACACATGCATACTATTTATTATCAAACTTTTGTTCTTAGCGTCTGTTGTCAAATTGAGAATAGGTTTGCCTTTGTTAATATTTTTTAAAGTGTAGTTTTGGCTAAATTTTTGATTATAGAAGTATAAAATACAATCATAATAGTGTACAAACTTACAATTCCAATTAATTATAGTCGAATTTCGACTACTGCGGGACCTCTAGTAGTTATTAAAAATATTAAAATTAACATTGCAGTCAGGCAAAGCCCCATCAACATTGTCGGATATATCAGCTGGTGGGGCGCTGTACACCGGTCTGACGGCCGCCAGCGCGGTGCGGGGGGCGGGGTACGGGCAGAGGCGCGGGGGGCGTGTGTTGCTGCTGGGGTTGGGGGGAGTGGGGCATGCTGCTCTACAACTATTGGTCTATCGACAGGTTCAGGTATACACGGATATAGACTAAATTGGAATAATCACATTTTGACTTAATTCTGTTATTGTAAGCTAGGATCAATCTCGATCAGATGTACGTGATATTTCTTCGTCAGAAAAACAATGCCCTAGACATTTTATATAAAATAACATGTAGCAGTAAAATAATATTATTATGGATAATGAAAGTGAGTATAGTAATAGAGCCCATTGAGTTTCTCGCGGGATCTTCTCAGTGGGTCGCGTTTCCGATCCAGTGGTAGATTCTGCGAAGCACTGCTCTTTTTAGGGTTAGTGTTAGTAGCCTCTTCAGGTTTGAGCCCCGTGAGCTCGCGCCTACTTATTAGTGTTACTCTGAAATGGTCACCATCAGCTTAGGTAGGAAAAAAATACATGTGTGCAATTCACTCGTGGTAGAAGTGAAAAATTCAAAAATTAAAATACTATTATCCTAAATGTATAAGTATATATAAAATTTTGTCAGTAGTAAATAATTGTAAATCATCTTTTACTAGCTGACCCGGCAGACTTCGTAGTGCCTCAATCGATAAATAAAAGACACATCAAAGGGCAATCAAAATTGTTAATTCCGATCATTTTCATATTTATCTACCTTTTAAACCTTCTCTGGACTTCCACAAATAATTCAAGACCAAAATTAGCCAAATCGCTCCAGCCGCTCTCGAGTTTTATCGAGACTAACGGACAGCAATTCATTTTTATATATATAGTTAGTATCAGGTAGCGCCCTCTGTGAATTGGTATTTTAACTTCACGTATAATCCTAAATTAGAATTCACTACAAGAGGTTTCATACACACGTTAGTAAAAAAAAATCTCATAGATGGCGTTGTATTAAAAAAAAAAACGCTACACAGAACGTCTAATGTGTTCTATCTCATTCTCTCGCCGGCTGAATCCTATACATTTATGTGTGTCTCTATGGGCTTATTTTTTCGTTGCATCGAGTTTGAAATCATAACGATTTTAAAGAAGTTTCACTTCAAAAGGAATAGTGGCAAAATAACTGACACAGGTTGTAGTGGGATGTGCGGGGGAGTTGTGTGAGCGCGCCATGACGCTGGGCGCCAGCCGCGCACTGGACCGACACGCGCCGGACTACGACAAGCTTCTAGAAGAATGTGGACCGTGAGTTTTTTTTTTCTTCTCCCTTTGCTGCAGAGAGTTCTAGTATCTAGTATCCGTTATTCAGATCTGTTTGTCAATATCTTAATCGATTTTTAAGGCCAAGTCACTTAAAAATAAAGTTTGTAATTTGACTGTATTCTTTACGTGTAGATGATGATTCTTAAATGTTGTCAACCTTAATAATGGGTATTTAATTGACTTCAGACTAAAGGATATAAGACGCCCGTTACATTAGTATCGAGCGATGCGACGCTGTCAATGATCGAATCCCGCTGGCTGGTACCATTTCTTCTAATGAAACACTTACGCTTGACGTACGACGGGCCGTGAGCTTCCTCAAGCCATATTTACCCATAAAGTGTTGTTGTATCGTGTAGATACGACGCCATCATCGACTGCGCGGGTCTGGGGGGTTGGGAGGCGGGTGCGCGTCGCTGGAGCTTCTCCCGCTACGTCACCCTCAGCAGCCCGCTCCTCAGGGACACGGACGCTAGGGGTCTGCCCCTGGGGCTCGCGGCCGCCGCCTGCCAGCTCGCGGGGCAGACCGCCCGGGCGCTGGCGGCGCGGGGGGCGGGGGGCGCGGCGCGGGGGCCGGGGGGCGCGGTGCCGCACGTGCGCTGGGCCTACTTCATGCCCAACGCTGACGATATCGAAATGCTTAGGCGTTTGTCTGAAAGTGGAGAGGTATGTCCGCTTAGGATCTTCTATGCATTAGTACTAGAACTCGCGCAGTGATCGAAATTTGGCAATAATCACTAAATGTTTAGATATGTTACATTTTGAATCTGTTTGGTCTTGTGCCTATTTATATATTGAAGCTGAAGAGATAAGGAATTTGTTTTTTTTTGCACCACACCACGGAGACATTGAATATTAATAAAAGCAAACCGAACCGAAAATGCAGTTAAGACCAGGATCAGGATATTGTACCACCAATTAAAATATTATTGTACTGTCATAGCTGCTTTAAGTTTGTGAAAAAATCCGTTCCGGATACAAGTCAAACCAAAAAAAGGGGCATTGAAAAAAAGTCTTATGCTTAGACTTGGCTTAGTAACTAATTGCTGTTTTACATAACCGTAAAGATTGTCGGAATCAGTAACGAGGTTAGACGCGCTGCATTGATAATGCCCAAGGCTTTGAGGACCTTGGCTGGTCACCATTCGTAAGGTCCATTTCGGCGTGATAGATCTAATAACTAGATTATAATAGTGGTACATCAGTGGTTCAATTGTTCAGAATAAAACGGGAGTCGTAGGAATTTAGATTCCAGCTTCCATCCAGATTTTCGTATAAGCGGAGACCTAGATGACTTGCTGAGAGGAGATCAAGGTCGGATATGACGCTATGAGGCGCTTTACTATTTCTAGTGCTAATATAAATCGGCAACTAAGCTTGTATCTTGACTTTCGCAGTACACGGTGGCTGTGGAGCAGGTGTACCCTTGGTGGGAAGGGTTGGCGGCATACGAGCGCATGGCCCGGGGCTCGGCTCGCGGGAAACTGATCTTAGACTTCAAGGCACCACCGCCGCCAGTAGCTAATAACTAATTTATAATTCAAATAAAATTGTGTTGTTATTTTCTTCCCTTTTGGGGTGACTTTTATTAATTGATCTGCCCAAAACACGTCATTACGGATCCTCCCGATTCATTAACGGTACTTTAGGTACCACAAGCACCGGTCACCGTCCACCGAATTAACCCACAGACAAAGCCCACTGAGTTTCTCGCCGGATCTTCTCAGTGGGTCGCGTTTCCGATCCGGTGGTAGATTCTGCGAAGCACGGCTCTTGCTAGGGTTTGTGTTAGCATCACTCTGGTTTGAGCCCCATGAGCTCACCTACTAGTTAAGGTTACGCTGAAATAGTTTCTCAAGGGTTAGGTAAAAAAAAAATTGCTCTTTATAATAATCAATTTCGATAGAGGCTTAAGGTCTCATAAGGTGCCGGATGGCATATGGCAAGGTGGACCGATGACATAATCAAGACAACGAGGTGGATGTGGATTTGAATGGCGGGCGATCAAACATTATGATTTAAAATATGGGAAATCTATACCCCGCAGTGGGTATCAAAGGGCTGAAGATATAAGATCTATTATGATGACTGGATACTTAGAATATAAATACCAATAAATAATCGAATATCCGACCTTATGACTGTGATGTAGAGACAAAAGATGTGAATTAATATTTTGTATTCACAAAGTTCTATAATATAAAGGTTTTCGTTGTTTAATTGCCATCGATAGTAGCAAAGCTGCTGATAGTTTAATGATATGGAGTATTTCAGAATGAATGAATAAACAATAAAATAATTGAGTTTTCTGTAATAAGAGAACAAAATTTAAAGTCCATATTCTTTTTTAAAATTTATAAAAAAAAAATTAATAGTAAGCAGTTTTAGAAAAATACAAAACTGAACTTATTTTTACAATGACAGACTTCAGTCTATGACACTGGAGAAAAATCCTTTTTATAAACTAAAGAGTTTTTAAATAATACAGGTTTTTCTTTACTTAAATATTAGATAATAGATTTTACTGGTGTTTTCGCTTTGGAGGGCGCGGCGGCCTTTCCTCAATTGAGTCTTCGAACGTGTGATTTCCTCGCGGCAGAAATAGTGGGGACAGTGGTACCTGCCCGTGTCGGCTGTAAAACCCCCCACTACCAATAAGTAGTTCATCATCTCACCCTACAGCTGTCCACTGCTAACACAGGCCTCTCCAATCGATCTCCAGTGCGACGACCGTTGTCACCTACATCCAAACTAATAGTTACGCAGTATCTGATGTTATTCCTTAATCGTAGAAGATCCAAGTGAACACGTGTTAGCACGTAATTCCCTACAAAATTGACACGTGCCTGTGCAATTTCATCGTCGGCATAGTCATAGTCACATCCTTTGATAAGGATACCTACACAATTATTCTTTAAGCCACGACGACTTCGGACCGGACTGTTACACAGCACATACCTACTATCATCATTAGCCTGTATCTATCCACTGCTGGATGTAGGCCTCTCCCATATTCCGCCACAATGAACGATCCTCCGCCTTCCGCATCCAATCTCTCCCAGCATATCGCCGCAAGTCATCGGTCCAACGGGCAGGGGGACGCCCAACGCTGCGCTTACCGGTACGCGGTCTCCAGTCCAGAACACGTCTGCTCCATCGGCCATCGGTTCTGCGACACGTATGTCCAGCCCATTGCCATTTCAGCTTGCTAATCTTTAGGGCTATGTCGGTTACTTTGGTTCTTTGACGGATTNAAGTGGTCGCCCTCGGTCTGTTAGGACTCCAGCAGTGATAAAAGCTGTGAAGGCGCGAATTCAAAGAAATCCCAAACGTAAGCAGAAACTGTTGGCCCTTCAGATGGGGTTAAGCAGAACCACGGTGAAAAGGGTGTTAAATGAAGACTTAGGGCTTCGGGCATATCGAAGTAAAACAGGACATCGTTTGAATGCTCGTCTAATGGACCTGAGACTGAAGAGATGCCGCGCTTTGTTGAAGCGGTACGCGGGAAGAAAATATCGGGAAATTCTTTTTTCGGATGAAAAAATTTTTACCGTAGAAGAGAGCTACAACAAACAAAATGATAAGGTGTACGCACACAGTAGTGAAGAAGCGAGCAACCGTATTCAGCATGTCCAACAAGGTCATTTTCCATCCTCGCTCATGGTATGGTTGGGAGTTTCTTATTGGGGCTTAACAGAGGTACATTTTTGTGAGAAAGGTGTAAAAACGAATGCAGTTGTTGCATTTAAGATACGTTACAGTTATTGCTCTCGGTATGCGGTTTTACTGGTGGTAGGACCTCTTGTGAGTCCGCGCGGGTAAGTACCACCACCCTGCCTATTTCTGCCGTGGAACAGTAATGCGTTTCGGTTTGAAGGGTGGGGCAGCCGTTGTAACTATACTGAGACCTTAGAACTTATATCTGAAGATGGGTGGTGCATTTACTTTGTAGATGTCTATGGTCTCCAGTAACCACTTAACACCAGGTGGGTTGTGAGCTCGTCGACCTATCAAAGCAATAAAAAAAACCTTTCGGAATGGCACATTGATAGACAAGTGGCCCAAACGTTAAGAGTATCAAAATCTGTAGTAGGTACGCGAGTAGATTTGTCACGAAGTGGATAAATCAGAGCTTGTAGATGGTTTACCAGACTCGAAGCATAGGCATGTGGGAAGCACCAGTGTCGACAAAGTAAAGATGTTCCACCAAGATCCAAATGTTATTGTTAGAAGCTAACTTAGCTTGAAACTGTCGTTGACGCGGTTCAAGCATCTGTCAAATGTCTTGTAAGCATAAAAAGGGAGTAAAAGACTGAAATTCGCCGAAATAAATTCATTGTAGCTGATCTGAGGCCCTGTCTCTTTTAGTTTTGCATTTGATCACTTGTTTTTTCAACATTTTAATATTATTATTTAAAAAAAACAAGTAAAGACTTGACTGAAACTTGAAGTATTTAAATCTCGGAAACAACCATGACATATTGTTTTATAATATTAACACTGTTTTTGCGTTCCTCCAGATAGTAATATGTCCGTGACTAATTTCTGATTTAAATGCTCTGCTCTACGCAGATTTCTGTAACGAAGAAGAAGTTTATGCAGTAGCTTGAGAATTGAAAATAATTATTTACTTTGAATGTTCTCTGAAATTTCGGTTCAACGTAAAATAACTATTGTTATGTAATTTCTATTTTAAAATCTAACATGTCTTTTGTCCATGAATTACAATTTTTACATTTAAATACTACAAAAGATATTTTAAAGTTGTAATTCCTTCAGACGGTCTAGACAATAACAGATTTGATTATTATTTTATGTAAATTTAAGGCATTAAATAATTATTTAATTTAAATAATATTACTATGTAGTTGGAATTGAAGTCGAAAAATTAATTAATTTGGCGCCATTATCATACGTAAGTAGTACTGCCGAAGAGTAGTTTGGCGATGCGGTCTGGAGGGCGGGCAGTCTTTGTGAAAACGTTATAACGTGGGGACTAATCACACACATCAACGACATCTGGTCGCAAGCTAGGAGTTCCTGTACTACGGGAACCGGGGGCTGATATAGAAATATAGATATTAACATCCTGCTAGAGAATTTATTCGTCATACGAATGTTTGGCTGATACCTGACCCTTGGTCCCGGTTTTTTATTTAGTAATCTGTGGTCCCGTTTGGTGGGCAGAGGCTTGGCTCTGCCCCTGGCATTTCTGAAGTCCATGGTAGACGTTAATCACTCACCATCAGTGTGCTTAGTGCGTGTTTTTTAACGTTCTCGACAGCGTAAAAGTTAACTTAATAAATGTTTGCCTTTTTTTTTATTGCTTAGATGGATGGACGAGCTCACAGCCCACCTGGTTTTAAGTAGTTACTGGAGCCCATAGACATCTCCAATATAAATGCGCCACCCACCTCGAGATATAAGTTCTAAGATCTCAGTATAGTTACAACGGCTACCCCACCCTTCGAACCGAAACGCATTACTGCTTCACGGCGGAAATAGGCGGGGTGGTGGTACCTACCCGTGCGGACTCCCAAGAGGTCCTACCACCAGTGAACAAGTGCCTACGTTTGCCGCTAGGGGCGCTGTTCCAACTGCATACAAATTTGAGTTAATTTTGGCGCTATCGAGAACGTTAAAAAACTCGCACTAAGCACACAGGTGCGCCGTATGCTCGTCTACCTACAAGGGCAATAAAAAAGTAATCAAGGACAGGCATAGAGTCGGCTAAATCAAATGAAAACGGGTTTTTTTTAAATCTATAGATTAAATGTGTGGACACTTGAAATGTGAGGTGTATGACACTCTTCTAGAACTTTGACTGATGCTGCGGTGTTCTCTATGATCCTATTTAGTCAATCGATGACGCTACTATCTATTAGGAAACTGAAAGTTTAACATATTACCATATTAAAAGCCAATACTGGTAGCTGTTTAAACAATGGAAACAAAAAAAAATTGATTTACGCAATTGCCAAATAAGATTTTAAATAGTCATTTCATTCTTGTTACTTAAGTTCATATGTACATTTATTTTTATTCACGAATAAAGTTGACAGTGAGCACACAACTTCAATGTCAACTTTAATTTATGCTTTAATAATTTGATCGAGACAATGGTTGGTAAATAAATAGAAATATGTATAAATATGAATATGTACATGCATCGAATATTATGAAACAGTAATAATTGATTGTGAACAAATTGTAGATACTTATGCTACAAATGCATTTGTAATAAAATAATTTCGAAATTTTATTTTTTATTATTGTTTTTTCGTTTAGCCATAGGTGGGCGGAGGAATGAGCTCACAGCACACCAGCCCATGGTACCAGATAGTGGCTGCAATCTGAACTCAAGGATACCACAATCTGTATTCTGTTCCCCATCTTGGTACCTGACATCTAAGAGTCTATTGTAATCTTAAAATGGCAGCCATTTTTAAGTTAAAACCAATAATTGTTTCACTATAGAATTAGATGGTGAGTTAGAGGATGATTCTACTTGTAGGTCCATAACGCTTAACCAACTAAATTCGCAT